CGGGGAGCCGAACTGACCACAGCGGGGCAGGGAAAACCTGCTCGCCGGAGTCCCTGCCGGCTGACACAGCAGGAGGGCAGCCAGGGCCCACGACAGAGGAGATTCTCCAAGTGCCGGGATGACAGAGTATTCATCACGAGGACCTGCCGAGGCCTCACCTCCTTCACGGAGCGCGCACGGGTCATGTTTCGGCAATAGAAGTGCTCGTGCTCGGTCCTGCTGCTAAGTACGTTCCAGACACTCCGTCCTGACACACACACACACAGATGTGACCGGCCGGACCCGAAAAGACTTGAAAAGCAAACACACAACCACGGGCACTGTTCTGGCCACTGTGCATGTCGCGAACCCAACGTTCTCCCAGAGTAACCACAGCTGTCTCCCCCATCCGTGGGTCTGCTTTCCGCGGTTTCAGTCACCCGCGGTCAACTGCGGCCCGAAAATACGAAATGGAAAATCCCTGAGCTAAATAACTCGCACGTTTTTAACCTGCGCGTCGCACCGAGCGGAGAGCGTGGCAGAGCCTCGCGCGTCCTGCCCCGTCCTGCCCGGGATGGGCCCCTCCCCAGCCAGTGTCCCCCTGCCCCGGACGCTCCCGCCCGTCAGTCACTTAGACGCCTCCGTTATCAGGTTCACTGGGGCGGGGTCGCAGGGCTCGGGTTCCAGTCACCCTCACTTCACTTCATAATGACCCCAAAGCGCAAGCAATTCGGATCCGCCAAAGACAAGCCATAAAGTGCTTCTTTTAAGTGAAAAGAAAAACAGGAAAAAACAGCACACACAGGGCCCGGGCCTGTCCACGGTTTCAGGCATCCACCGGGGGTGTGTGTGTCTTGGAACGTATTCCCTGTGGATGAGGGACGAATGTATAAACATCCACTGTATGCACTGAGCACCTACTATGTGCCAGCCACATCAGATGTTGGGAAGAGAAAGATGAATTGTTAGAGAAGAACAGGAGGGATCTGGGGCCCGGCCTCAGGCAGAGAGAGACTGGGGTGAGCCATGATGTGCTGGTAAGACTGGCAGGGTGCAGGAAGGGAACAGAGAGGGTCTTACCCTCAAAGGATGTGACATCTGAAGGCACAGAGACACGAGGGCCCCACTGAGACCGTGAGGGACACACCAAGACCGTGAGGGACACACAGAGCAAACCATGCCCGTGGGCCTAATCCGGCCCGTTTTTGTAAATACAGCTTCTGGAACAGCCGCCTGCTGGACGGGCTTGGCCGCCGGCCGCCTCCCGCCGCGCCGCGGGGCAGGCAAGCCCAGTGGTCGCCGCGGAGAGGGAGGCCGGCTGGCCCTTCCCAGAAGCTGGGGGCCGCCTGCTCTAGGGCCTGTTACTCAGAGAGGGGTCTGTGAGCCAGGGGCACCTGGGGGTTTGGCAGAAAAATGCAGATGCTTGGGCCCCATCGCAGACTCAATGAACTAGAACCTGCCTCCTAAAAACATCTCTGGCGACTCTCGGGCCCAGAAAGCTCTCCTGTCACTGGCGTGTGTGGCCGGGAGGAGGTGAGGCTGCAGGTGAAGGACATGCACCCGTCCTATAGACAGTCGGAGGAAAGCGGTCAAGGTTTCCCCATAAAGGAGGGGTGCCATCAGTCCATGCTCCAGACAGGTCCCCCCGTCAGCGTGTGACGGTCGGAGGAGCTGATAGCAGAAAGCAGGTGGGCAGCGGGTGTCAGAACCCAGGCAAAGCGCCGGGTGACGCGGGGTCTTCTTCCTTCCCAGCTGAAAATGACATTCTGAGGGATTACTCCCATTTCGCCAGTGCCTCCGACCTGCTTCTGACAAATATAGCATCAGTTATAATTTATTAGGAAACAGAAAAATACTTAGTAACAGAATATTAGTAATCATGTGTTTCCCTGTACACCAAATGTATCTCCATCTAAGTAATGCTTCCGGACCGCGATGCATAAATTATGACATTAGCTGGAGAGGGAGGAAGTTTCAAGATGAAACGAGGCTCACTCATCAGCTATTATGCAGGCTGCTAACACATCAGTTCACAGGATATTTAGGGGTGTAATGTCTTATGGGAGGAATTCCCTCCCCCCGAAAAATAAATGCATGATTCTGGCTTGATATTCAGTTTTTCCATTTTTTGGATAAATAAGCAATCTAAAGTTAAAAAAAAAAAAAACCCGACAAAAAACCAAAGCAGCATTTTAGACGGCACGCCAACACCACTCCTTCTAGCTCAGCTAACGGCTTCCGAGCAACTGCTTAACATTCTGCCTCCTTAGAGATCTAGAGACGTTTGACAGGGTTATTTGTGGGACTCGGCGCGCTCGAACCTAGCGCGAGCAATCCGGATAAAAATAGGTGAGCGAAAATGGGAAACTCCCCTCCTTAGGTGCTTAGGTTTCATAGTTTACATGCATTCCATGGGCAGAAACGACGCAAAGGAAATAGGGCTTGTATGTCTGCTCTGAGAAATGAAACATAATTAAATCAATAAATCTCAGATAAGAAAAGAACCCATCAGACTGGCGTTGAGAAGAATCTCTATGTTAAGGTTCATTGATGAGGGCCGTAGGGAAGTCCACGAATTCAGTACCGCGGTTAATGGCACTTAAGAGATTTTTAATTAACATTATTATTAACGTTGACTATTAGTTAACAATGTTATTAACTATGTCTTTCCTCTGGGTTTACACTGTACCAACTACCAAGGCATGGACTAATTCATTTCATCCTCAAAATTCCCTGATGTTAGCTGCATCTTATACATGGGGAAACTAAGGCACAGAGAGGTTAAGTTACTTGCCCAAGGTCACACAGCTCAATCAAAAGTGGAGCTAAGATCTGAGGCTGTGCCTGTGTGCTTGACCGTAACCATGGTACCTCTCTAACGGCATCTGCCCTCCACTCTCCTCTTGCCCCCGGGGTGAATCTGCAAAAAGTCTCAAGCCAGTGGACTGTCATTACCAATATCAGGGACAAAGAAAGCCCCTAGAATTCAGACATTCGGAGTCTTAATGGGAAGGGGGGGGGCCCCACCATACTGCCCTGTGGCCAGTGGCCAGAACCCGACTGGTGATATAATAAAACCCAAGAATAATGTAGATTCCTTCACCAGGGTGAAATGCAAAGGAAGTCCCAGTAAAAAACTCTGAAATGCATCCCGTAACCGCGCGTTAGTAATAAATGCGG